AGTTGGGACGTGGCACCCGGATGCCCGCATCCGCCTCAGCAGCAGGGCGAGGAGGCGGCCTGGCCCGGATGGTCGCAAGCAGACCGGGGGGGGGGCTCTTCTTCCTCCTCCTTCTCCTCCGCGGGGAGGGGGCAACTCGAAATAAAACCATCATCCTCATCATCTTCAGAAGGGACACCCCCCCATGGATCGTGGCTGAGCGGAAGGGGGGAGGACTCCAACCCCCCAGAGAGCTCAGAGGGTTCTCTCAGCTCTCCGTCAGTCTCTCAGTTAATGAAGCCTAATTACCCCAGAGAGCTCAGAGGGTTCTCTCAGCTAATGAAGCCTAATTGGGATGTTTCACATCATCCTCATCATCTTAATAACTGCCAAGCTGGAAGGGACCCTGTGTGGATCATAGAGTCAGACTGGGCAAGGGCAATAGTTGGGGAAACCAAACATAAAATAAAAAGTAACTTTTTCCAAACTCTGGGCCTCAGAGCTGAATGGATCATTCATGGCCAGAGGCAGTCGATTTAAGTCAGGTGGAGGAGAAACCGCCCAAGATGACTAAAGGTTGCTTCCAGGTTGCATCATTTAACTGTATTTAAGCCGCATTGTGTCCTTTTAAGGGGAATAGCAGGGTAAACATATTTTTAATAAAGTCCTAACAGAAAGATCATGATTTAATGATTAATTTGGTTGCACTTGTTTTAAAATTGTAAGCTGCTTTTTTAAAGAGGAAGAAGGGGTATAAATGTAATAAATACACAACCAAAGGGTTTTGTGGCACCTGAAAGACAGGTTTTATTTGAAAGTTTTTATTGAACTAAATCCCCCTTTTTCATATGCACAGAAGTCTATTTTATTTACGTGGGTATAAAACTGCATAGACTGGAGAATTTCAAGGCAATGGACAATATATATGTTTTAAATGACACATCCAGTACTTGTAAAGGAATGTTGTCTAAAAAGGGTGGTTTCTTATTACATCACATAAAGCAATGTGATTTTTCTCAGAGGCCTTAAAAAGGAAAAGGTGTTGAGAGCTATTTTTTTCCAGGAACTCAGAACAAACCACACTTTAAAGTGTGTCACCCATCAAATAAGTTCTTGGTTTACACAACACCCATTTTGGAGCACAAGAAAGTTACCAAAGGTGTGTTCCTGATAAATAAGATGGCTGATAAGCAAGAAAACATTTAATAGGCTTGCAACTCAATCCTGTCCCAGGACAAGAAGCACAGACGCAAGAAAACATTTAATAGGCTTGCAACTCAGTCCTGTCCCAGGACAAACACAGACACTCATGTCATATCCTGTGCATGAGAAAAGGGACAAAGCTTTGTTCCAGTTCATTTATTTAATATATTTTACCCCAAGTTTCTACTTAAAAAGGATCCAAGGCAGCTTACATCATTAAAGACACAACATTAAAGCTAGTACTGCAACAGTAAATTTTGCAATTCAGCCATTCGTCTCCAAATAATTTTGTCCAACTTTTCAACAGCTTCTCTGACAGGCTTCAGGGTGTCCTGCACAGTGCTACTGCCTTACCTCTGCCACACGTTTAAGAAAACAATTCTTCCATATTGCTGATGGAAGAAGTAGGTAGTTGCTAACTCCTTAGCAAGGTCTGGGCTCAGCTTTGGGGAAGAAGCAAAGGGGACCTCCTTATTAATATACACCACTTTACTTTTTAGCTGGAAAGGGTCTAGTAGAGCCTTTTGTAAAGATCAGTATCAGCCTCAATTTATAATGTAAGACACACAATAGCTAAGGAAAAGGGAAGAAACATCTGAATTCATAGACTGGCTCTTGAAATTCCAAATTATTTGCTCCAAAATGATGGAGAGGCCTTGTTTCTTATCTGTTCCTTTTGCCACTGCCCGATGGAATGCTGCAGGACATGTTGTTCAAGGCAGAAGAAGTAGTCTGAAAGTTCTGCCTTTACTAGCTGCTCGGCAACTTTCAATAAGGGGGGGGGGAGCAATACCCTGTACTCCATTTATCTTTCTCCTTCCCTGGATCAGAAGAGGACCACTTCCTCTCATGGGGACCTGAAACCTGTGATAAGGGTTCTGAAATGTTCTTGCAAAAAGAAGAAATTCACACGTAAGTTTAGATGAGTGCAGTCTTGAAATCTGAGAGCTGCCAAGTGAACGAAAGCTGACTGACCAGAGACTCAAAAGACAATTATCACAAAAACAAATAGATGATGTTTGTGTTTGGCTGTTTCTGCCACAGGATTGTGAGTCGTGAGTCTTACAGTGCATCTACAGAACATATCCATAATCAGTCCAAATACTGCTTCATTTTTAAAGAATCACCCATTTTTGTAGCTACAGGAAGACTATATTCCTTCCACAGGGCTACTTTCATGGTGAACTCAATGCACAAAGCGTTGGCTTGTGTTTCTTCAAAGCAAGGTAGCAACTAGATAGTGTCATCTACAACATGGTGCATCTCCATTCCCAGTGGGAGTTCTGACAGCTGGTATATTAAATATTACCTTTAAACTATCAACACTGTGTACAATTGCTACTCATTGTCAAATCAGTTATGCCAATTTAAGAACTGGACTTTGACCTCATATATTCATTGAAAATCTGCACTTAATGAACAAACCATCTTTGGGTTTCCTTAGGGAGTCCCAGCTCCTGCAATTCTTAGTTCTAAAAGCCCATTTTTACATTTACTTAATGTACTCCAATTACCATTTCTGCAAGTGACTATTATACTGTAATCAAGGTAGCTAGCAGTCCAAGAGGACTTGAGTTTTTTCTTCATACCTTCATGTCCTGCTAGTGAAGTGTGGTGAGGATTCATATCCATATTTGACATCATTAATAAGGAACTTGGAAATAATAAATTCTCTGGCCTACAGGTGTAACTTTGTTTCTAGATGACACTAATGTCCCAAGGGTTAGGGGGAAATGCATTGTTCTGATTCCACTGCAGAGAACATGGAATTGATAGGATCCTGCTCACAATGCAGAACACAAGAAACTTAAGACTAATTGCGATGAGGCCTGCTGGGTACAGGAAGGAATATTCTTTGCTCTATCTCATATATTCATAAATACTGATTGTATTTTATTTGGTCTACAGGAAAATGAGAACAATACAGTCAAATACAAGGTCTGGTTATTCCATGAACAAAACAGGTTCTGCTCAATAGCGTTTTGCATTTGGATAGGCAAAATCCATATGGCTTTTGCAGCAAGACCTCAATACAGAAAGCGTGAAAGACAACAGGATTTGATCAGTGTGTGTCTCAAATAACAGGAAGGCTTCTCAATAATAAGTCAAAAGTTTGTACCAATATCCATCACAGCACCATTCTACAGAATATAGCTATAAAGCACTGCAGCACCTATATTCAACTGAGAGGGGAAATGTTCTTTGAATACCACTTTCTGTCCACACTCCTCGACTTCCCTTTTTTTTGTGTAAAAAAAAAAGGGGGGGGGAGAAATAGACAGATATTCTTTAGTAATATTTCTGAGTAGTTTCCTTAGAACTATCAAGCACAGATGGAAGCAGTCCCAATGAGAAATCTCTGGAAAAAGTGATGACAAGTTGAGGTTTTTGTCCCCTTCTAGTAACAAATCCATCAGCAAAAATTATTTCTGCAATGATTCCAAAGCTTTCATTGAGTCAGGTTGAGTTTACTTCTTTTTCTTCTTCCTCATTATCATCAATAACCTGGAAGACAATTAGTTGAAATTCTAAAAATCACTAATGCTGCACACAAACAATATAGGGTCCCAACACCCAAACGATCCTTCTGAAATCCTTGTAGACAAGCCATCGCCAATCAGTGCTAACCAGTGTATGCTTTCTAAAATCACAAGTGACCATGAGTTACCTTTTAGGTAATACACTTCTGCTTATGATTGCAATTTTTTAGCTTAGAATAGAAATATCTCAAGGAAAACATCACACACTGTATTTTCTCCCATGCCTTGACCCACCTACTAAAACCATTAATTGCTGATTTTAAAAAAAGGAAAGGCTTTCAAGAAATACTGAGTCAAAAAGCTTGGCGGTGGGGCGGGCAGTGGCGCCCTACAGACCTGCTGGCTATCTTAACCGTGAAGGAGGAAAGAGGAAGCAAAGCTTACTGCTGCCACATGGCAATCCCTTTTATTTGATCTGTCTAAAAGAACCTAGCACCTTTCAGGTTGAAACATTCTGTAGACTTTTAAAAACACACACACACACACACACCTAATTTCTTTCCACTTGATAGTGCTTACCTGTTCCACACTTTCTACTTCTGGAATATAGAACTGCAGCATGTTCTGTATGCCGTTCTTCAGCGTTATGATGGAACTGGGGCAGCTTGTGCACGAGCCTTGTAGTTTCAACTGCACAACCCCATCCTCAAAGCCCTTGAATACAACGTCACCACCATCTTCCTGGACTGTTGGCCTGAGGAACATTCAATCATAATGGGAATGTTATGCTAGACAAAACAATTTGCAGGAAAAAGAAACATTCCAACATTGGTATTATGTTTAGAAATGAGACTCAGGATGCTGACCTTCCCACCTAACACTGTTCTGCCCATCTTTTCTTCACTCTGCTTGCTGCATCTTCTCTATTGCTGTACTGCTTACACCCAGAACGTCCTGCCTCTTGCAATCCATCCAACCACCTCCCTTCCTCTCCTTCAAATCCACTTCCATCAGCAAAAGTCTTCCTAGCCCAACTAAGCAGAGCTGTGCACGTCTTGTTTAAATTAAGGTTTTCTACCATGGTAATTTTTACCCTTTGAACAAGAAATGAGTCCTACAACTGAAATAAATTATGCAACTCAGTTGCCTGGCACACATCTGCAAACATCTGTTCTGCCTATGGAAGATGAGGGACGGCAAAAAGGAGCTACACAGGTCACGGAAGTCTGCTGTTACCAATCCCTGCTCAACCCCAGTTTGGCTTCAGCTGTATCACTCACCAGGAAGGCATCATATTGCTTCTTTTTAACAACCAAAACATAAACATCAACCTTGAAATCTCTGGGGTTTATAAATACTCCCACCAAACCACTGCAAGTGAGAAACAATTGTCTTTACAATTACTTTTTGCAACATTGTTTGGTGGATGTTCTTTCTCATATACATTTGAAAGTTTCTTTCTATTCTGTTTTTACTAAGCTTTCTCCATGCCAGGCTTATAAAAAGTCTCTCTACTCTCTCCTTCCTGCTTACCCTATACCAGTGATGGTGAACCTTTTTGATGCTGAGTGCCCAAACTGGAAAAAAAGAAAAGAAAAAACCAACCCAGCAGGTGGCGGAAGGGGGAATCCCGGGCACGGAGGTGCCTCCAGACCCCACTCCGGATCCGCCTCCAGTCGGGCCCAACCCCTGCCAGCACCAGCTGCTCTGGATCCTGGGGCCGCAGGGTGCTAGCACCACGGCTTCAGCCACTTCCTCAGGTTTGGCTGCCAGGGGTAGTGATCCAGCAACTTATGGCTCATGTGCCCACAGAGAGGGCTCTGCAAGCCAGCTGTGGGATGTGTGCCACAGGTTCCCCATCGCTGCCCTAGGTCAAGGCACAGTATCTTTCCCTTAAAAACATCCTCGGTCTAGTCCTGAAGACTGAAACACTGCTTTTGAGGGATCAATCCATTTCCCATCTGGGATATGAACATGATATATGCATCATCACAATCATATCCCTGCAGTGATGCTCCACCACATTGAGAAGGACAGTGTCTCTTGGACACACTGCTTCATGTTCATTTTTGCCTCACTGATGTGTAATAATTTAGGACTGGTCATATTTACCATAACTGTGACCAACAAACTTCTAGCAAAATCATCTCGAGACTCAAATGCTTTATTTATTTAACCAAACAGACAAATTAATGCAGGCCATTCCGAGCCTCCATCCTCACTCCAGAAAAAACCTGCACCTCTACTGCAGTGAAAAGCAGACTCTTCATTTCCCCCCTCGTACTGCCCTTTTCCTTCCCAACAGGCCTCCTGATATTTACCAAAGAAACAAAGAACATTCTGTCGGTAGGACTGGCATACACTAAAATGCTGGAACCACTTCAATGTGAATATTGACAGAAAGGCCAAAATATAAAAGCGCTACTGTAAAGTGTTCCCCTGGTGTCCTGCATGAAAGGCAACAAGTAATTTTAACTGAAATAGTTGGGGCCTGGAATGATAAAACTAAAAGTGGATCTATAAAAGAGGATAAAGTTAATCACACTAATATTTTTAAGATCTGCCTTTCTCTCCTTTTTAAATAAGTCTGCTGTCATTCCACTTTGAGTTGTGTTTTTAAATTGCAGGCTTTTTCCAGATACAGAAACCCACAAGAACAAGTAAGGAAGAGACCAATGAACCAGTAGTGCCAACTAATCATGAACAAAATGTTGTTTCCGCAGGCACTGACAATAAGCATCTTTCAACTCAGCCAACTGGCTATCACTTGAATTGTATATTCAGGATCTTGTCACCTTTACAAAACAAAATGGCATCCCAGACATTTTGAACTTTCATAGTCTTTACCCCCTGAGTATGTTTGTGGGATTCACAGATGAAGTATCGGGAGGGCCCCAGATTGCCCACAGGTGTTAAGCTGGCTACACTTGGGATGTACAGTAAGCAAAGCTAAAGCTGTACCTTATTCTAGTATCCAGCAGCTCTTTTATCATTAATACAACTTCATCGTCTTCTTCAGCTGGAGCTTGCATCATTCATGAAAGACAAAAACAATGAGCCACGTTTAGCATTTCATTAAATAATAGTAAAAAAGCTTAGTAAAATACCATTTTTCCATAATATGGACCAGTGAAAATGTCTAAGGCTCAAACAAGGAATCCTTCGTGGGAAAAGGGATACTCAGGGCTGCTGAAAAGGTCCCATCTCACTATAGGCAGGGCTGCAAGTCACAATGAGAAGGGCCAAGTGTGCTTCCCCCCCCCTCCAAACCCACTGGTTTCAACTGGAAGGAAATTAACATTTGGAATTAACAAGGGCCCTAGTTATTCAGCCCAGTCCTAGAGCTTTCTGGGTGAACAAAGGGACTCTGATCCAACAGAATCACAGTTTGTGCCCCGTTCCCAAAGCCTACATACCAGTGGAAGGACTACAAGCAAGAGTCTTTCCACCCTATTTACCTGCAAAGCCTCCTACAGGTTCCATAGCCAGATATAACACCTCACTGGCAGAGTTATCTTGGCCAGCAGACAAAAGAGATGCTTCTAGCCCTGCCTGGACCTTACTTTGTGTATTCTCATTTAGGGAATACAGCATTTATTCAGGTACTTTATCCCATATTATTTGTCACCAGCACCTCACCTTCAAGGCTATTCAGTGCTTGAACACCCAAGATTTCATCCTGTCATAATGCACAGCAGCAACTCCCAGTGAACCTTTTAACTATTATTATAATATTGCTATTTACCTGTGTCTGAACGAGGTGCTTCATCAGTAACGACAGGTAAACCAGAAGAATAGAAATCCATAATAGTTGCATAAATATCAGGTTTTATTAAGTTCCAGTCCACATCCTCACTTTCCTAGTGATCAATTCAAGAAAAGGTTTATGAATTTCATTTGTACTGCTGTGAGAAGTTGATTGTATACCTGTTTTAGCTAAAGTGAAAAAACTATGGCTGAAACCAATGGTTCCCAACTCTCAATCCTGCATGCATTCTGAATTTAGGTCTTTCTACCAGTCTCCAGCCAAAGCCCACTAATCCGGAAACATTAGGAGTAACTCCTGAAAATGAGTTCATTTCCGCTCATAAGCCCACCAACTCCATTTCAAACATTGTACTAAACCAAAATGAAGAACTTAAGCTTTGGTGCACTGTATCAAGCCACCACTCAAAATAACAAGTCACGGTCAGCTGAACCATGGGAATTACCAATTATGATTTGGCATGATGTCCACGTTGCTGGACCAGGGTTATAGGTGGCACTTTGCCCCTGCAGGCAGCTGCACCATGGAAGTGAAACAGAGATTATAAACTAAACGGACACACAGCTATACCTCAGTGCATCTCTCACACATCAGAGAGATAATAACCCTAACTAATTTTAGATCCAAGCTGCCATTAGTGCAAAACATAACCAGAGAAAGTACTCATTCATAGGACAATGACTTGAGCTTTTATAGCCTCCTGTTTGATGGAAAGCTCTTATGGGAAGGAAAGCTTTGGAGAATCAGGCTTGTTTGCAAGGGACTGACAGAGATGCTCCCAGCTGTGAATGTGTAAGACAGTTTTCCTACTGTTTTGAAGGCTTTTTTAATGCTGTATTCAAGTTTTGTAACCATGCTATTGTGATTTCATTGGGTTCAATCCAGATTACATTAGTTGCATTCTGATTCAACTGAAATCAAATAAGCATTAAATCATGATTAATAAATATTGGACAGGTATTTCAAAGGGAACTAAGTGGAACTACCCATGGCTTAATTTTACTCCGTCATCCAGCAATGTGACTTCTTTTTCAGAAAAGAAATGCAGCACACGTTTCAAAAGAAACAGACTCCATAAGATTAATGTTTTTTACTTCTTTTACCGATCACATTCATTTCCTTTGCAACAGAATCTATAAAGAATGATTGCTTCAGCATGCCTTTTTTCAAGAATTCTAAACACGGTTCACAAAAAAAGGAAACAGAATAAATTTTGATGAGCAATCAGCTCTCAGAGTGCCTTTCCTTCCCCAAGACTGAAGTGGGGGTTCTGATCCTGAAGGCTACGCTTAAAATCTGGAATAAATCAGCAGTGCCTTCTATTTTTAGAAAGAGCTTTGCAGCATTTGCTCAACAATCTGAGGAAAGCATGCACTTCCACTATCATCTCTGATGACTTGTTGAGGGTTCTGCTCATGTTTAGATCATTAAAATCTTATTTTATGAGTACCTTTGTGACAGTGATGAAGTCGGTTCCAAAGAAGATGCTTTTAACTCCTTCAATCCTGAAGAGCTGTCTGTAAAAAAAAAAAACCAAGAAGACTGAAAAGTCTATCATTCAAGCTCACAGTTACTGTGAGTTTTCTGATTTCATCACCTTAGTTCACTGACACACGTTTACTGCAATCCTATACACACTTATCTGGACCCAACAGACTCTGCATCCATATAAACATATATGGGATGAGTTAAGACATGAGGTCAAATCTAATGCAGCAAAAGCTTTCTAACCATATTGTAAGGCCACCTACCTCTGGATCACGTAGGAATTATCTCTAGGCATACATAGACAAGCAGCTTTTTAAAATGATTATTTTTTTCTCTCTCCATTTTATTTTACAGTTGTGTTCAAAATTATTCAACCCCCAATGATGTAAAGGGGTTTAGGGACTATAGTGTACATTTGGAATTGTATTCAGAATGAAATCCTACAAGGACATTTTAAAGAACCAAATGCAACTAAAATAACATCAATTGTTTATGTAATACAGTAGTAAATGTTTCTTTTGTGGTTTCTTCATTGCCACAATTATTCAACCCCTTAAAGACTACCACTCTGAAG